TAGTACATGGTAACATCTACGAGCAACAACAAGCAATACAAAAGTTGCAGACACATTGAGGGTTAACGAATAACCAGTTCATAAAGGAACCTCCATATCCGGGTAACTACGGAATAAACATGTGACCCCATGATGGAGCCTCCAGTACGGTAACTAAAAGTGCAGATAGATAAGTTCCATATGAACCTCGAATCCGGGTAACAGCCAACACATATTCACATGATGCTAAGGATCCTCCCGAGTACATATCGTAAATGACATTAATTCATGTACACAGTATATAGCATACTTGAAAACAGATCTTATTTACACACCGAATAAATACTGTTGAACATAACCTTACTAAGTGATTACTCACAAATGGCCCTTGAGACAGACGACAAACAATCTTGGTCACCGGTAACGTCGGCACGTGACCTACACGACACACAATTGATACATACTTAAAACACAACATGTCGAATTGTATATAGATATCTGTTTGCTCTTAGTGTTGTGTTCAACCTTTAACCTCATATGGATCTTAAACAGGCTAGGAATGCCTAAGGAATGAGAATGCAAGAATCATTGGAAACAATTTCTTAAGAAACTTGCTGAACATATGGTCTAAAACGCCTACAGCGTGCTTCCCACTCGAGCAGACATCGACAATAGCTCCGCTCGATATGGCCTTCCTCGCTTGCGCGGACTAAATTTGAAAAGGACTTGATGCGTGATTTCACCTCGACGGCTCTCGACCTACATCAAGCGTGAACCAGACCCTCGCCTCGAGCATGAATTCCTCGCTCGACGCAGACTGTGAAACACACAAACTTCTAGGTAATGCATTCATCTCGACGTAACCATCTCCGCGACGAAGTGCATTACTCAGAGCACGCTCGAGGTAAAGTTCCCTACTCAACCGTAAGATCGAAAATATGGAATTCCAGATGATGCCTCGCCAAACTCAACCTCCATGCATCAAACTCATTTCTGCGCCAAACTCTTGAAAACACGAAAAGACCATAAAGCAAACATGTGTAAGCGTCATTTAAAAATCAAGGCCGCAAAATGATAGCCAACTAGGAAATCGCAGACATGAAGTCAAGGATAATATGAACAACACACACATCATTCTTGAATCAAACACTCCAAAGATAACTCAATGACTGTAATTAATGAAAAATATAATGACAAAATTAAGTGAGGTTAACAATGCCTGAAGAAACCTTGAGAAATATGCTCAAGTTTGCAAGAAAATGTCAGCATGCATGTCATGGTCCAACTACACAATCCTATAGGAATTCACTAGTTCACAATCATCTGAAGAATCTGACCAGTACCAAGAAAGCTTAGTTCATTACCTAGAGGCTTCAACTCTACAAAATAGATGAGCTCTATAATCTTCTTCATAAACACAATCCTCAGCACCTCGAGTTTGAGCTCAAACTCCAATTCTGAACAAATTTCCACTCTCACCCTTCCCGTTTTTCTCCCTGAATGCTCAATGTGTCAAAAATGAAAAAGGGAGTGGGAAAACAATGGTCCACGAGGCACAGGCTTAATTAGGCCATTAAACAAAAATGACTTAAAGGGTAATCGTGCATATTTAATCAATTTAATCGCTCCCAATCGAATCAATTAACCACAATAAATCTACAGAATCCTAATTAGCCCATAAACCAAGTCAATTATGGTTGACCGATAAGGCTTTCCATCGCAAATCGAAACTAAAAATGAAACAAACTTCTACACTGAACAGATATACGACACCAAAAATAAGCAGTACACAGCAAGATAATTCAAAATCCCCAAATTACTATTAAGGCAAAATCCGGATGCTACCGAGGGTCGGGGTGTACATCTAGGATCTATGCTGGTGGGGGAAGGAAAAGGGTTTTTCTAAATCTGTCAGAAATAATATAATAAAGAGTAAATTCTCAATTGAGAGAAATGCTTATGTCTACCAAGGGTGGGAGAACATTTCATGAAGCCTTTATTGGCTCTTCACAAATCTTGTACTCCTCAGGATCACAGAGAATCACAGCATTAATTCTCATTAATCATTTCGCCTGCCAGTCATTACTGCACCTGTGACTAATAAGGATATTAAAGATGTTTCTTGGTCTCTTAAAGCAACAACCTATCACAACCCAGAACCCCCTAAAGGTTGGCATGACCTAAGCAAAAACTGACCAAACTGATGTACAAACCGTATCGGCCCATCGGAACAAAAATAAAAAAAATCTACATAAACAACATACCTTGAGCACTCAAATCCCACTCATGCAATATACAACCCATCAAAAACGATAAAGTAACTATACCCGATATCGTGTACAACATATACTATTGCATCCTGGCCCGATAATCTGGGCATAAACAAAGGAAATGAAAAGTTTATGTACAACCATCTGGATGGTTCTTCAAAAGTAAACCCATATCCCTACAGCTTCACAAAAACAAAAGGGCTATATGGTGTCTGGACATGTAAGGGTGACCAAATAGGGAACAGCGCCTAGACAGATGACTCCTGGCTCATGACCTAACGAAACATACATAATAGAGAGTGAGCCGAGCTCAACGAATAGTAATACATAATGAACGACGTCTAATTTGAACTTATAACATCAACACATAACATAAGAGCAGCGTGCCTTGGTTTATCTGATTCTGCATTATTCATACTGGCCCTAGCCTAATCCCTGTGACATGAACATGTGCTAAGCCTTAAACGATGGCGACCTGAAACTACGGCACGAGCCCTTGAACAATGCACGAGGCCTTGAAATCACTTGAACTGAATGGCACATGCCTTGAAAATTGCCACTTGAAACTTGTGGCACATGGCCCTTGAAAATGGCATATAGCCCTTGTAAATGCTTTTCTTTACATGTAACATTAACATATCTTAAACATGCATAAGTACATTACATGCTTGGGACATTAACATAATTGCCTTACATGTCTTGAAACATTGACATGATTGCATAACATATATAGGTGCTACTACTCACAGCGTTGAGGTGGCGTGTTGCTTCCTCCTGAAATGTGCCCTGCACACAATTAATACGTTAGTTTCTTTTTGTTTTAACGCATTTCCTGAGTCTTACACCTTGCATGCATTTACAACCGTTTTAAAATCATCTGTAAAGTATTCTAAAAAATACCAGAGAAGCAAGCACTCAAAACTGAACAAACATTTATTTTTCCTAAAAATGAGTCCCCCGCTCGAGCGTCACTTTGGCCGCTCGAGCGGACTGTAAATTGCATAAAACTGCTGAGAGGTGGTTTTTCCCGCTCGAGCGGGCTTTCCACCGCTCGAGCGGACCAAGCGGATTCTGCAAATTCTGAACCTCCATTCGAGTCCCAACCTGGTATTCACTCCATTTTTACATGCAACCCAAGGTTAGGTTAATGCAATATTCCCACCTAATAGTACTATAACATGGATTCTACCTTGAGTATCATAAAATAAGCAAGATTAGGAGCTTCTACAAGCCATCTCTCTCTCTAATTCCATTCTTGGATTCAAGTTCTTCATATCCTTGAAACATAACACATGATATATGCATAATTCCATGAAGTGATGATAGAAAACCATAGATTGAAGTATAATTTCATACCACACCCAATCTAGATGCCTAAGCAACCAATTGAGAGAAACCCTCATTAACCAAGCATGAATTAGACATGAATCAAACATACACATCAATTACAACTCCAAATGACCATAATAAGAAGAACTTGAGCTTACCTTGAATTTAATTCTACACTTCTAACAATTGGTCAAGCTTTCTTGTTGAATCCCTTCTCCCCCAATTTCTCTTCTTCACTTTCTCTTCTTTTCTCCCCCAAAATGGTGTTCACGTTTGTTTGATCAAGGTTTATTAAGTCTTAGAGATATATATATATATATATATATATCCATTTATAAGTAAGGCATATAGGACAAAAGTGAATCGTTCAATCATTCCAAAATCAAAATTTCGCTAACATGCTTAATATTACTTAAAAATTATGTTGATCACAGATATATAATCAATTTCAGCTAATTAAGCTGTTTAGGCTTCCAATTTCTAATTCAAACGTGTTAATGGTGACAGATAGTTTCCTTGTGAGACAGATAGACATTCATAGACATGGATTTCACTTCCTTAATCATAGTTTTTTTTTTTCACGGAACTACACAGTAAGCATTTAAAAGTATCAATCGAGGACTCAGAATATAACAGAAATCATGTGCGAGGGTCGGGTTATTACAAGGCCCCTGGCCCTGATGGGTTTTCTACTGGTTTCTTTAGAAGTTCTTGGGCCATTGTTGGTAAGGAAGTTACCCAGGCCATTAGATCCTTTTTTTAATCTAGGAAGCTCCTCAAGGAAGTTAACAACACAATTGTTGCCCTCATTCCTAAAGTCCCTAATCCTATGAAGGTTGGGGATTACAGGCCAATATCTTGCTGCAATACGATCTACAAGTGTGTTACTGAAATCATTGCTAATAAAATCAAGGTTATCGTTCCTAACCTTATTGACCCTGTTCAATCTGCATTTGTGCATGGTAGGGGAATCTCTGATAACATCTTCTTGTCTCAAGAACTCATGAGGGGCTATCATAGAAGCTCTTCTATCCCCAAATGTGCCATGAAGGTTGATATTATGAAAGCTTATGATAGTGTGAGATGGGAGTTTATTATTGATATCCTTATGGCTATGGGATTTCCCTATATTATGGTCTCTTGGATTAGAGCTTGCATTACTAGTCCGTCTTTCTCCATCTGCATTAATGGTAGTCTGCATGGCTACTTTAAAGGGGCTAGAGGTCTTAGGCAAGGAGATCCCCTGTCCCCTTATCTCTTTGTCCTAGTTATGGAAATTCTTGCCAGAATCCTTGATGAGAAATCTCAGCACCCTCATTTTAAATTTCACTGGAAGTGTGAAAAGACCAAAATTGTTAACCTATGTTTTGCTGATGATCTTATGATTTTCAGAAAATGTGATGTTTCACTATGAATTTAATTATGGAAGGGTTGGAGGAGTTTAGTAGCCTTTCTGGTCTTATCCCAAATCCTAGTAAAAGCAATATGTATTTCTCTGGTTGTAACAACAATCTTAGGGAGGATCTTCTCCGTGTTGCTAAGTTTATTGAGGGGACTTTACCTGTCAAGTACCTTGGTGTCCCTCTTACCACAACTAAGTTCAACGCGTCTGATTGCCAACAGCTTATTGATAAGATGATGCCAGAATCAAAAGTTAGACCAATAAGTTTTTGTCCTATACTGGTAGGGCCCAACTTATTCAAACAATCATTTTCCCTATGCTGGTGTATTGGTCTTCTTTGTTCATTCTGCCTAAGAAGGTCATTAAGGAGATTGATAGTCTCCTGAGAGCTTTCCTTTGGTCTGGTACTGAGCTTAAATATCATAGTGCTAAAATATCCTGGGATAAAGTTTGTGCACTTAAATCTGAAGGTGGTCTTGGTTTCAAGTCTCTTGGGGTGTGGAATAGAGCTTCTATAGCTAAGCACATTTGGTTTCTTTTTTCACTGGGGGGGGCGGGGGGGACAATCTATGTGGTGCCAATGGGTTAAGTCTTATTTGATTAAAGGTAAATGCTTCTGGAGACTTAAAGTTCCTAATGATCAATCTTGGGTTTGGAGGAAGATTCCATCTCTTAGACCTGTCATTCACCCTCTGATTGTGCATAAAATTGGTAATGGTAATTCAACCTTTTTATGGTATGATAATTTGCATCATGTGGGGCCCCTTTGGGATAAATATGTGGATTGGATTCTTTATGACTCTGGCCTTAATGGTGATACTCGAGTCAGTTAGATTATTGAGGGAAACTCTTGGAAGTGGCCTTTCCCTAACTCATGGGGACTTCAAGAGGCCTTTCCTTATGTTGCATTGCATGACATCTCCATGTTGCATGCATTGCATTGTGTTTGGTTTGGGTGTTAAACCAAACACGAGGAACGAGGGACGTTTCATACTTGAAGTGATGAAACGTGCTTCAATTCTCGGTCGCCAACACTCTTGATCCAACATGATAGAGTGTGAGGCATTCATGTGTTTTTGTGCATTCATTCCATGTTGATTTGTGTAATTCGGCCTCTTTGGCCATGATGCATCGAAATGCGTGATTGACGGCTCGAGGGTTCGAACACTACACTCCTTTGAACTTCAAACATGATAAGAGCTGTAGTTGCACAACATTTTCTTACAAATGTATTGCCATGCCTCTATTTGTACTCTGCTGCAGCAAAAGGAGCAATTTGCAGGAAAAGATGGCTGATCGGCTATCTGGAGTGCAAATCGGCTAAAAATTTTTGGCCGATGGAATAAAAAATGGTCGATGACCCTTTTCCCTTGGCCGATGGCCTCTCGGCAAGTCTATGAGGTGGTTCAGAAGCATCGTAGAGATTTGTACAGTTTTCAGAGGTGCAAAACAGTGCAAACAAAGGCAACATGAGGCATGGCGACGGATTTTCGAGCGAAGCCGACTGAGCATGCATATGTCCCTCTTTTTGAGGTCGCTTTAACTGTTTTGTAACTTAATTAATTTGCTTAATTAGTTAAGGTTTTGTAATAATTAATTAGCTAGGGCAGTTAGTTAATTATCTGGTTTGTATTATTCATTCGGACCCTCCGTCGAGAGGGCGAATTTTGTAATAAGTGTGTGTGAGTGTGTGAATGTCTTCCAACCCCACGTCTTTCTCCCTTTTACTTAACCACTTACGATGGTTAGTTTTAGGTCATGTTTCAATTAGCATTCCTATGCTCGCATGTTTGTATCCATTCATCTGTATTGCATGCACCGGGCTCGGCGCATCATACTAACTGCATTGTATTTCAATACCGATTTGAATACATATTATCTAATTACATCTCATATGCCATCTTTGAATAGCCGAGCCTATTTTTAGTTGCATTTTGCATGTGTTGCATTAGGCATTGTTGACATAGCTAGGATCATGCATTGATTACTAACTAGCTTCTTGTTTTGGCTCGGAGTACACTGTAAGTGTTTATGCTTTAGCATGTTGCATGAGTGTGAGTGTTGCCATGATTGCATTCTTACCATGAGGCTAACTGCTTAATTGATTAACTGCCTGAATGCCTGTGGGTGAAGGTTGGATTGCTTGAATTGGAACAATTCATCCAAATGCGAGTTTTAAGCCCACTTGAGAGTGGCAAAATCATGTATTCTTAAGCCCACTTGAGGGTGGCAAATCCATGTCTTAGCCTACTTGTGAGTAGCATCTTCAAACCATTTTCAAACAAACATGAGATGCTTTGTTCCAACTTAGGCGATCTAGTCTATACTTGTATGTTGTGCGCATCACATAGTAATTCTTGCTAATTAACCGGAATAAGAGCGCATGTGTTTTCAAAAACAAGATATCATGTTAGTAAAGGCCGATCTTTGATTGGGTGAGTGGGGGTGCTCATTGCATGACCTTCCCCTCTCGTACCCAAGTTCTCGAGCCGAGGCAACTTTGGTGATGACGAACACTTAGCCTTAGGCACGACTCAGGGTTTCCTAAATTTCCGAAAACAAAAATTTTTAGGTGGCGACTCTGTATCTGGAAAAGCAGTCCATGTATGCTGTGCGCATCACATAGTAATTCTAGCTAATTAACCGGAATAAGAGCGCATGCGTTTTCAAAAACAAGATATCATGTTAGTAAAGGCCGATCTTTGATCGGGTGAGCGGGGGTGCTCATTGCATGACCTTCCCCTCTCGTACCCAAGTTCCCGAGCCGAGGCAACTTTGGTGATGACGGACACTTGGCCTTAGGCACAAGTTAGGGTTTTCTAAATTTGCCAAAACAAAAATATTTAGGTGGCGACTCTGTATCTGGAAAAGCAGTCCATGTATGCTGTGCGCATCACATAGTAATTCTAGCTAATTAACTAGAATAAGAGCGCATGTGTTTTCAAAAACAAGATATCATGTTAGTAAAGGCCGATCTTTGATTGGGCGAGCGGGGGTGCTCATTGCATGACTTTCCCTTCTCGTACCCAAGTTCCTGAGCCGAGGCAACTTTGGTGATGACGGACACGTGGCCTTAGGCACGAGTCAGGGTTTCCTAAATTTTCCAAAACAAAAATATTTAGGTGGCGACTTTGTATCTGGCAAAGCAGTCCATGTTTGGCACTTCTTTATAAAAATCAGTTTTCCAAAACGATTTGCTGGATTTGGACTCTTTGGTGATTTATCGGTCTTGCATTGCACTTTACGAGATTAGATTCAGAACCGTGAAATTGAGTCTGAACTGTAGTAGCTAATGAACAAAATGAATTTTGTGCCATTTCGCGTGCAGAGCTGGGATGTTCGGGCACGTCTACAGTTTCTGGCGACTCTGCTGGGGATTTAGAGAAGTTGACTTGAACACATGATATATTGTTTTGACTACACTTACGTGTTTCTTTGCATTGCATATGCATTGGTGCGCCTAGGACACCGTATTTTCCGTATGCTATTCCTGAACGATTTGTCGATGGCTTGCTTTGAGAAGTATGCCACAAGGCTGACCGGTTACAGGCTCTGCCACGATGGGAACACAAACCTTGGTTTTTACCGAGGCACCCTTTTTGACCATTCGACCTAGTGCATATCGGAAATTGTAGTGACCATTCCAAGCTAGGACTGGTTGCTTACCCGATTATAGGTTGTTTGAAACCACTGCGTGGGTAGTGAAACCCTAGCTCCTGACAATAGGACAGGGAAACCCTACCCCTCCATAGGGGTGTTTTTGGCTCTCACTTGCTTGCTATGTGCTTTTAGAGTTGGCCTCTACAGGAATGCATGTATCAGTTTGCAAGTCTAGGTATCAGTCCTGCAGGCATCAGCATCAATATTTTGGGAATCAGTTTTACCTGCAGATATCAGATTCAGATTTGGGGTAGTGATTTGGGAAAAGTGATCAGTGGTTGAGAACAGTTCTTTCGGCATGTATTTGCCAACTGTGTGTTGTCTTTATTTAAGATGTTATGCTGTCCGTTTTTCTATTCATTATTTCCTTATTATGCTTTACTTATCTTTTTGCAAGGTAGTTTAGCACCATTGCATCCGACCAGGTAGACATCCCCCGAGCACTCTGGGTTAGAGGTCGTAGACTTAATCGATCCAGGGATCTGATAGACAGACAAGCAGTGTTCCTTTCTTTACCCCCGATTACCAGACGAAGGTCAAAAAGGCGCAGTGTATCGGTACAACGGTCGCTAGATTAGCGGTTTACCCCACCAGTGAACAGTCAGGCTGAGGTCTCAGTTTCTATTGCAGGGACAGATATACCGGTTGTTCAGTTAGACCAACACACTATGGCAGATATAGAGGAGATGATGCGTCAGCTCCAGGAAAGTATGCACGCCATGCAGCAGGATGCTGCCCGTCAAGCAGAATTTGCTAAACAATAGGCCCAGGTTATGGCCCAACAAGCAGAGTTGACTGCTAGACTTTAGCAGCAACAACCACCACAGCAAGCCGGAGCATCTACTTCGTACCAACCTCCTCCCCCACAAAGAATTCCAATACTTAGGGAGACAGCACATGTCCAAGACAATACGGACGTTCCGACAAGGCCAGCTCCGCCCCTGATCTTACCGCAGCTATCCCAAGCACAGACCAACCTGGGGGATACACCGTTTGAGTTCGTGGTGGATCCCACAGCGCTAAAAGTGAGTAAGCTGGAAAAGCTGTTCAAGAAGTCTCAGGGCGTGAAATCCATTCCGTACACTGAGGATGGGTACACCGACTCGACCTTGACTCTGCCATACCGGTTTAAAATGCCGCACATAGACCGTTTCGACGGGTCTGGAGATCCTATGCCGCATTTGCAGCTGTTTTCGGATATACTAAGGCCAATGGGCTTCTCCAGATTGCAGAAGCTTTCCCTGTTTGGCCGGACCCTGTCGGGTGTAGCTTCTATTTGGTATGCAAAACTGGAGGACTTTGTCAAGAGGAACTGAGAGGAGATGGCTGGGGCCTTTGTAGCTCAATACTCCCATAATACACTGATCGAGAACACAACACGTCATCTCGGGATGACTAAGCAAGAGCCGAAGGAGAGATTCTCCGATTTTGTGACCCGGTGGAGGGCTAAGGCCTCGACAATGACCATCAGGCCTGTTGACAAAGATCAAATTTGGATGGTTATGCGGAACCTCCAGCCCAAGCTCATGCAGAAGATGATCGTCCTCCCCCTCCCCACCTTTGTAGATCTACATGAGATAGAGGTGCAGATTGAGGATGCCATGAAATAGGGCCTTATTGATCATGAGAGAAAGCAGCCCAAGAGGGCATTCAACCGCAGTACAAATGCAGGCACAAGCAGTGCTGCACCTGCCAGATCTTCAGATGTTGGAATGGTCACCACCACCACCCCGAGAACCCTTGCAGCTACCCCATTCACCGGTGCATCTGGAAGTAGCTCACAAACAACTAGGAACCCATCCCGAGGCCAGAGAGTCTTCACCCCACTATACATGTCTTTGTCCAAGGCTTTGGTAGTTTTGATCAAGAAGGGGCACTTGAAGCCCCTAGAGCCGCAGCTCTTGCCAGAAAAACTTCCCCCCTCCTATAACCTGATGAAATATTGCACCTTTCACCAACAACATGGTCATGAAACTGACCATTGCTTTCGATTGCGTCATGAGATTCAGGATCTCGTTGACAACTGGGTGATCGTG